TCCTTAACAGCAACCCAGAAACCTCTTAACAACAATCCCCTGGCACTGCTACTCATCATCAGCCCACCACTCCTGTGACATATGTCCTCACTATATGAAATCTATCTAGTATTAGGCATGTTTATTGGGATGAAGTTGTCCCCCGCCCCGATGAAAGATTCCATATACTATATGCCGGAATGCAGTGTAGTCCAGATTTTGAGAAAGCCCCCATATCGCACCAGTCTATATGATCAGAAACCCTAAGCCCTAAACCCGAAACCGAGGATTGAGGCCCGGAAAACAATCTGAGGCAGGCTGTGTGAAGTAAACGTTCGAAGGTAGGGTTTACGCAAGGAAAATACTCCGCGTTTCTGAATTCCAGGTCCTGCAAAAATACAAAAGATGGCCAGGCTAAACATGCACCCTAAACCCTGAGCCCTAGGAGTCATCCCATGGATCCACCTATTGGGTACTACTTGGAGGGTCGGTGGGACTTAGTAAGTAGGTTAATAGCCCCGTAGACCCTGTAGCAACCCTAGTTATCCCCATCATTTACCGACATACTAAGTCCCCCTGACCCTCCGCCCCGAAGCCCCAAATACTGTGGTAGTTTCCATTTTCTTGCCCGTTAATACTAAGTCCTCCCCACCCTCCAACCCTAAACCCTAAGTACTACAGTAGCTTCCATTTCGCCAGGATTACTAAGTCCCTCTCACCCTCCAAGTATGCATGCTCTCCCCACAATATGGTAGAGTCTTAACTGATTGAGGTTACTGAGTACTATCCTAAAGGGCGCCCAGAACTATGTATGAATAGGTTCCCTTATGCCAAAATCAAAGAGGCAATAGTTATCATTCCAAAGTGGCATCTACCCTAAACCCTAAACCCTAAACCCTAAACCATAGAACAACCAGAAGTTGGGAACCCGAAGCCTCTAAACTGACTGGGATTCAGGGTTGGGGGTTAGTAGGGAAGCGGGGAAGAGGTTGCATAGGGATTGTATATAAGGATTGTCTCCAACTAGTTCCTGCTAACAGCCAGTAAGTAGGCCCTAAACCCCTGAACCTCATCCGCACAAGAATCGGGATGTTGATCGCAGCGGCTTTGACATGATACACTGCAGTGACCTCCCAGCGCCGTTTGTAAAGTCTACTCCATCCATGTCAGCAGCAAACTCAAGCCTTAGTTGGAAGCTTGCGGAAAAAAGAGTAGAGACGAAGGGAATATAGAGTAAAATATAGGGCTATATAAGGATAATGGAAGAGACAATGGAAACTACTGTTTAAGGCTTTTAGGATTGAGGCTTTAGGGCTCCAAAACAACTCAATGTTGCTAATGCTTATAGACTTTAGAGCCCAGTGTAGGCATTATTTGCATACCTGATTGCCCGGAGTATGTGAAGTACACTGGCTACGCATGCTTCGTTCCAATTTTGTTGGGCTTTCTGGTGGTAGTCCAGCTATGCACGATCATCAGTGTCTTTAAGGGTGTATGGTTTACGCATCTCTTCGAAGCTAACTCTGAAAATCAAGCTTGGGAGCCCAAAGAGAACAATCAATTGAAGCCGAAGAACAGCAGCTTCACCATCTCCGTGTTTCCTCGCCTTACATCTCCAGCGCCAGTGCTTTCAGGATGAATTGAAACGGGCATGAGCGCGAGAGGTTTACAGTTTAGAGTTTGGCGTGTAGGGTTAACGTTGAGGGTAAATCCAGGGATCCAAGTATACAAATAACACCGACATTGGGCCCTACTTGTAGTCTGTAGATATTACCTACATTGGGCTATTTTGATTCCTAGGGCAATGGACAGAGCCTCCAAACCCTAAACCCGTCAAGACCCGTCCCCACAAGCTCTCCGAGGTGTCCGCACACAGCAGCCACGGAGCCCTCATATGAGCATTGTGTTTTCCTTGTAACGTTTCTGCTGCTAACATGGAGGGCCTACGCAAACTACGCGGAATGGTTGTTTTCCCTGCGGAAAGGACTACGCGGGGATACTCTTGCTGTACAGGCGACCACGCGGACTACGCGGCACACCTGGCCTACACCACGTTATACGCAACTACGCCCTGCAGGCCCGAGGCTACGCGAGCACTCTTGCAGTTTCACGGCCATCCTCGCTTTTTCACCCAAAGGGTCCAAAGTACTAAATATGGTATAAAGTATGGTTTCTGTAGTAGTAACTTCCCTTATGGTTTGGGTAAGTATTCCCTATTTTGGTACTTTGGACCCTTTGGGTCATGCAAAGCAAACGCTGCTCAGATGGCAGTTTACCTAAATAGGTGGCCCCAAGACAGGCTCCAAAACATTATGATCCTTAGTATTGGGACCCCTACAAAGGTACCCTGGAAAACCTCCATATCTCAATACCGCGTCAACCCCAGACCCGAAAACGGTAACCGTTCAGCGAGTACCCCTCTGCTGCGCCTATGGAAGAAAGAGAGGCTTTGAAGCCGAATCGGGGACCGTCAACAACACGGCCCGTCTTTGCCACACTAAAACCCTAAACCCAACAGATTTAGGGGCCATTTTGTGGTAGGGACCCCCTAAACCCTAAACCCAGGAAGGGACAGTATTTCTGGAAACCTACCTGGCAACAAAAGCACAACGGCTGACATGCAGCCCGTTAGCCGGTCATGAAGTGGGGTTTCCTAAAATTAGGGGTACCTTTACATGGGATATAGGTGTTATAAAGGGGGTTCTATGGGGGTATATAAGGTATATGGGGTTTAGGGATTAGGGTTTAGGGGTTTTCTAAAACTAGGGGTACCTACTATAATGGAGGATCAAATGGAAAAGAAAATGGAAAATAAAATGGAGACTGTGTTTATATAGGGGATTATAGGAATTAGGGTTTCCTAAAATTAGGGGTACCTTTTTGGGGGTCTTCATAATAAGGAGTATAATATATATGGGTCTATATTGGGGTCCCCTTATCTTGGGAAACTACCAAGTATGCCAGCATCAGGCTCCAAGCCAGCAGACACGGAACGCTAAACTTAGGAGGACTTAGGGGGAGAGTGCTCCCCAAGTTCACAGCCACTTCAAGATTTGGTAGGTTCCGTAAATAAGGGGACCCCAATATAAACCCCAAAATACTATCGACCTTATTATAATAACCCCCAAAAAGGTACCCCTAATTTTGGGAAAACCCCATTTTACGTGTAAAGCGACACGTCGGACGCTGCTAAAGCTTGTCAAGTTGCCGACATGCTCGCACGAGTGGAAGGGGCGTCATTTCGGAGAATGTAACTGTTCCAGCACAGGCTTCCAGCAGTAGGCGTGTGCATCCCACGTGGCCTCCGTCAACTGACTTGTCAAGGGGGGTCTCAAGGAGGACGGAACACTCGAAATCTTCATCCTCATCCTCCTCTCTGTAATAAACAGCTACAATATCCGGATCCAGTCGCCGCTGAAGCAGCGCCTCAAGTGCTGACACATCACCCTGGCAGGCTGCAGCCATGATTGCCCTCTTGTCGGGCATAGAGGTCCCATGCGAATCTAACAGCACCAGCTGAACATCAACGAGCTCATCCAGCTTGCTGGCATCCGTCAAGCAAATTGTTCCGTGCAAGAGCTGTTGCCTGAACGCTGCCAGTAACTGAGCAAACACTATCACAAAAGCTATTGCTACGAGTACTGCTGCTATTACCCTGACTTGTACGATTACTCCTACCATGTTTGTCCCATTTCGTGGCCGCAGGTCCCCACACCACAACGTACTTGTCTTCGGGCTATGAGTAGTGCAATGTACTTCATTGTGAACCAGAATCATGCAGATAGCAATTGCAAACTCTACCTGCCTGAAGCGTGAGATCTTGAATGTTCTCGCCAAACGCTGCTTCAAGGTCCACACATTCGGCAACTCCTCCTGCCGAAAACTTGCCAACTCCTCACCAGATGCTTTCCTGAGAGGGGCTGCGGGCGTTTTCTTGAAGACGTTGCGGGGACCCTTTTGAAGGATTCTACTGCGATTGTTCTGAGAAATTTCTATTCCGAGTTTGCTATACATACTTTCCAAACAACTTGGCTCCTGTATGTCTGCTGCTTTATGAATACTCCGTGTCAGTCTTTGGACGGTACCTAATGCCGGTTTCAAAGAGGAGCACCCAGGGACTCTATTGGGTTGCTGCTAAGGTTTTTTTCGATTACTATAATATGGCAATCCTATTACTTACTATTTGCCACATGGGCTGTTCTCAGAATTATGGGCCTTTTGGTTATAGGTAATATTTGGCACCTAATACTTTTAGGGGCACCAAGAAGGAACCCTAATTTTGACATTCTGGTGAACTTAATTGAGTCTTAGCTACAACCCAGGCTAGGGGACCGTCATTTACTGGCGGCTTCTGTGAACGAAGGTTCGCTCGCTTCTCTTCCACTTGTCTCTTGCCTCATAACCTGTGAGAAATACGAAGCTTTCCCAGATTAGGGAATTTTTTGGGGCGTCCCTATAACAAAGAGTAAAGTATTTTGGGATGTATATCGGGGTCCCACTACCTATGGAAACAACCATATTGCATCCATTCAACCCTAAATCCTAAACCGCCCGGGTCCAGGTTCTTGAGGGGCGTTGCGGCGTGTTGCGCATGGAGTAGTTCCTCAAAAAACGGCAAGTACCAGAGTGCCATATATCATTACCGAAAAATTCGACTCCAGCAGGGCTAGAGGATTTGGGATATCTTCAACGGAAGCACGCTACGATTGTATATGGACCATGTGGAAGTCATGGTCTCAAGCTCTCCGGGCTTTAATTACCCTGGAAACTAAGAGCCACACTGACATACCTCTGAAGAAAGGGCGTGTCTCCAAACGTGCAGCATGGTAGACGCTAGGCTGATGGCTTCGTCTGCGCCATGGCTGGTTCACCGGACGAAAACTCGCCCAGGCTTGGTGACTAAGTTGGAGTTTAGAATGGATTTCGTAGGTTACGGGGCTCACTCATAGCATGGGGGATGACCATCACATTTCACTTGTCACCAAAGCTTGCAAGCAAAATTAAACCACACCTGCAGAGTTTAAGCCACGCAGTGTAGGCTCTAAGGGATTTGCAACCCCAGTAGAAATTATAATTTCAGCTAAATATTAGGATTGTTGGTAACAGAAATTAATAATTGTTTTCAGGAACCTTGTAGTAGGGTTGTTTAGGATTTAGGATTGCTTTTTAATTTGCAATTTCGTGGTGTCAAGGTGTTAGGCTGGAAGCTGTCTGAGTACGTGTGAGGCTGCCACACCGACTAGCACACATACAACAGCTTCATTTATCTCAAGCTGTCCTTGGAACCTACTTGAGGGTTGAGGGCAGTTCTAACCCAATTATAAACGACACAATGTAAGCCCCCTTAGTCCCTGAATATGGTTATGATTGGGTTAGAAGCAACAGTTATGGTTGGGTCCTAGAGTTTAGGACTGTAGTACAAGCTGTAAGGGATCAGCCGTGTGCATGCATCCACCCTTTCATCCCATTCACCCTCTTGCAACAGAAACCTTCAAACAGTTCATTGCTCAGGGAAGCTTAATTGTCTGGAAAGATCCCGGGTTTATGGGTTTTGGGATATATTGGGGCAAACTCATGCAAAGCCCTAGGGATCCAAGTGTATAAAGACTACCTATTACCTACATTGGGACATTTTGATCCCTAGGGGGTCCCACAACACGAAACAGAAAGCAAAATGAGGCGTTGGGGCGCCAACACACACCATGCTTCGGTTGAGGGGACCTTAAGGGTTTAGGGTTTAGGGTTTAAGGTTTAGGGTTTAGCAGTCCCCGTGGAACCAATTTGATGCATCGCCAGCCCTTGTGGAAGCCTATACGTACTTTGTAGCACAGCTTTTGGATAAGACTAATTCATGAGTCTGTCGGCCCTGAAACAAGGTAAAGTGCTGTTGGCCTGAGTCCGAACACATCAAACACGCAGGAATCATAGGCATAATGCCTTCCCCCCATATTAAAGTATCCGCAACTAATAAGGACTATATAGGGCTTGATATGGCATAATTGGGTTCAAAATCTCCCGAAGGGCACCTTTGGGGGGAATAGCATTGTAACCCTAACTCTAGATGTCACGTTCCATCTTCTTTTCCATTCTCCCACGATAGCCCCTACATCATCCCTGGGCCCTGAACCCTAAAGCTCAAACCTCAAACCCTAAACGACCTAGTATACTACAGGGGCCTAAATAATTGCCAATATCTTTTTGAGGTCCATTTGAGGCACCATATACTATAATGGTGCAGGGGGTATGGGGCCATAATATTGGCAATGATTTAGGCCCCTACATTAGGGTAAAACAAGCCATGTTAGACGTCGTCTGACTTGCAGTCGCTTGGGACCCCCATGGAGGTTCAAGGGAACCTTAGTAAGTAGGTTGATAACCCTATCAACCATGTAGTAACCTTGTGGCTTTTCAATGTTCCCGTCGCTTTACAGGGTTTTTGCTTCCCATGCCCTCTACTGACATAACTGCTTACTGCGTGGCACTTATAGGGCCCCTATGAAGGGTTGACCCTTAGGTACCTATAATAGGAATGTAAGGGAATCCCAAAGGGATAAGGGTCTAAGGTCCAAGCTAAGTCCCAAGGAGCTTACGCACGCGTATTGACCGTGGCTCATCTGAGGTCACGGCAGCTGAGCCGGAGGTGTCACGACCCGGATCCAGCCTGGCCTCCATCAGGGGAAGGTTTGAACTGGTTTAAGGTTTACTGGGTTGCTGTTAAGGAACTTAAAATAAGTTACCATAATGGGTATATACAGTAAATAATAGGGTTCCCTCAATACAGTAAGTTACAATTTTGTTCCTTAACAGCAACCCAGTTTAGGGTAACCCCCAGCCTGAAGGGGAGTGGTAACCCGAAAGCTATTATATCATTTGGGCTTTAGGGTTTAGGCCAGTATCAATACCCCCTACTCCCCTGATATCACATATTGCCTGCTTGGTGTAGTGTAATGTGTTGAGAATGTTACATAAAGGGGGCCTGGGAGTCTTTAATATTAGTGGAAGGGATTAAGGGTACCCTAAACCCTAAACCCTAATCCCTTATAAGGGAGGCCCGACGTCTAAGCTCCGGGTTTGCCCCAAGCGAGGGTTCAGGGTTGAAGGCTTCGGGCTTGGGATAGGCAGGCATGTTGAATCGTGATTTTTCCACAGTGGAAATTTGGTATCTCGAGTGGGCTATAGGATAAAGGGACTCTACTGGGAACCCCAAACCGGGAACCTCAAGAATATAGTAGGTATATAATAGGAATATACCTACCAGGGTCCTTATATTCCACTATATTCCTGCTATATTCTTGGGGTTCCCTATTTGGGGTTCCCAGTAGAGTCCCTTTATAGGATGTTGCCTGGCAATTATTTGAACTCATGCCGGGGTTCTGAAAGGCGGGGTATCCTTAGGAGCTCTTAAAAGGGCTTATGGGAACATGCCATGTGGGTTGTAGAGGTGCAGCTGGTTGGGGCCCCAGAATCCAATAAAGGAGATTTGAAGGGATCCCCGTAGGGTTTAGGGTTTGGGGTTTTAGGGTTTAGGGTTTTGGGTTTTAGGGTTTAGGGTTTTGGGTTTTAGGGTTTAGGGTTAAGGGGATGCTGTACGAATGATGCTACTCGGAGGCTCAGGGGGACTTAGTAATATTGGAACAAGTGGAAACAACCATAGGGTTTAAAGTCTAGAAAAGCTTAGTAACTTGGTTAATAATACTAAAATTTCTTGCTGGCCCATTGGGGTTGTTAACCTACTTGCTGACTCCCCATGACATGCCAAGTAAGAAACTATCATCCACGCATGCTGCGCCCACAACTGCAAGGGGCAGCTGATGGATTTGAGGAAGTCTTGACCGCATGGTCTTTGGTGTCGAGGTTCTGAGATTCTGATTGTTGAGGCTGATGTGTTTCGAGTTTTGTTCAGGGTATCCTAAATCCTATGCCCTAAGCTCTATACTCCAAACTCTGGTGTTCCGGGAGAAATGCCTTCATCCTGACCACTTCGAGGCTTCTGAATATGAGTAACTTTCTTAGCAGCCAGCTGGCTGGCTACTAAATTGAGGTCAACAATTCCAAGCACAGATGCAAGAAGCCCACTAGTAACCATGGCTACCACCTTTATTAACCTACAGGGGGTTTTTAATATCCCAGGACCTTACTCGTGACGTGAAATCATAATCATGGGTCTGCGGAAGTACTAAACCAGACCTACCTATGGAAACCAAAATCTAATTGAATCCTAATCATGTAATGTTTCCATGCAATTGTTGTGGGAGGCATAGAAGTTCAGAGGTAAGCCAAGAAACACATAATGACGAGCTTACAAAACCTTGTTTGACCAATGCGCTATTCCCTACCTATGACTCTTGAATTCATGGTTTTCTCTAGGAAAGCGTTCTGAACCTTCTGTGGACAACCAGTTTTTTTCAAAGAAAGCTCATGAGGGCACTTTCTCATTTTCCAAACGTTGCTTGTCTTCATTCATGTGAGTTTGCAGACTTTATCACTGACCAAATTTTTGGTTTCGAATGTTAATCTTTAAGAGCCAAAACATGCGCCAGAACCAAATGCCACGAAATCAGAACCAAATGTCACGAAACCTTCTTCTACCTGATGGTCATGGGGAACTGCGACGACCCCGAGGACGCTAGCCGACGACACGGGAACGCTGACGGACGCACATGACGCCATGCTAGCTCATAGATTCATATTAGCTTCCATAGCATGATGCCATGCTAACTCGTCGGAGATTTCTGCAGCTTCCAGGACATGAGGCCATGCTAGCTTAGGGTTTAGGGTTTAAGGGTTGAGCTGATATTAAAGGTCTAGACCAGAAGGCGTAGACACACACACACACACACCAGACCCCAACAAACTTTAAACCATCCATGTAAAAGCAAAAGAAACGTGACTGCCCTTCCCCAAACTAAC